ATAAAACATACATTTGTTATCCAATGTATATATCTTAAATTTTTTTAAGTTTCTTAAGTGGAAAAGTAAAACAAAATTATCAAAGTATACCAAGAATAATTAAGAATAAATGTCCTCTGGGATTTATTGAATAATTAAGTGAATTTGCTACATAATACAAGTAATACCATAATTAATTTACCTCTTAGCACAGCCAACGTACATTACGCGGATAGACTGGAATTTTCTTGAAACACACCTGGAAAACCTGGAAAAGTCAGGGAATTTTATTCTCCTGTTTGAGTGGCAACCCTGATGGCAGTATGACATAAGTCTTGGTGCAGGATAACGCCTTTCTCAATTTTCCATGCCTTTGTATTCTTAATTCCATCTCTTAGTTTATATATCAGATTATCATAAAATTCCCTGTTGATATTTTAGTCTTTCATCTCAGAAACACCCAAAATTAATCTTCCTTTTCTCCTGTCATTTTTATTCTGAGGACCTGTTGATGATTTTTTTCATAAGCAGTTTTTGATGGCACATGTATGGAAAGAAGGGGAGGAATGTCAGGTTCATAAAATTTCACAACCTATGGGCTCCAGCCTAATATCCTATAGATATTTGACTATGTAGTACTATTTTTTCCTTTACGGTCAAAACTGTAATAATTATAGTTTCAATTGAGCCTCATTTATTTCAAAATCATTGGATTATCTTATATTGACAAAATATTAAACACCCGTGTTTTCCTAAATTAAATTTTTCCTGCTGAATGTATGGGGCTATTTATATGTAACATAAATTTGGGGACGGGGGTTTCTTTTGAAATATGCTTTATGGAGTTCAGTTCTCCCTCTTAATGTTTTATAGAATCTGCAACTTATCCTTCTTGGACTGCTTTTAAATTTTAGTTTAAATTTTATGAAAAGCCATTTTACTGTTTTGCATCTTTTTAATGTCAAATATTGAAATCAATATGTTTTTTTCTGAAAAATGTCTAACTCAAGTTTGAATTTAAATATTTCGATTTGAAATAAATGTAATGCTAGTAAATGTTGCTTTTAGTATTTAGCATTCATTTATAGAAACATAACTAAGTCTGAGAAAGGAATACTCAACTTTTATAACATTGATTTTGCCCAAGCTCTGTCCCATTGTAATGTAATTTTTTGATTGCTCAATTTGGAAAATTATAGCACAAGAAAATGCCATGAAAAATCATTTTTTAATATATCTGTATCACTGAGAGTTCCTCTGCTTTGGCAAGATAAATGGAAAATAGAGAGGTGCTTATGAATATAAACAAGCACTTTTCCTTTGAAATTTTAAAGAATAACCTCTTTTCGAACAATTGACTCTATCTTTTATGTGTACTTGATGCAAAAATATTTTGTTTTTATAAATATCTTTTCATTGAGTAAATTTCTGGAAAATACACGGGAAATTGGAACAAATTTGAGCTTTTTGCAACATTTTTTTTTACATTATTCCTTTAAAAGTATTTTATTTTTGTAAACGAAGTGTCCAGAAGTATTAGCACTTGTTAAATTGCAATAAACTAAAAGTTGTGTTTTAACTATTAGAAAGTAATTGCGTTCTTTTTTTTAATGAAAAAAGATTTTCTTTTGGTGAATAATTATTTTATTGAATTGTATATTGTCCATTCTGGTCCAATACCTTTTGTCACCTGTCTGGCAGTAACATGATTCCACGCTTATAAAAAAATTTTCTAATCCAGGTGATTTTTGACCTCTTGATTTGAAATAAAGGTTTAATCATCTAAAAAATTTTGTAGAGACAGGAACAAATAGTAATCAGAAGTTGCCAGATCATGAGAATTATGGTGGATGGGCAGTAAGTATATCCTGTTCAAGCTGTAAAAGCTTCTGGCGAGTTATCAAACGTGTATGATGTGTCTCATAATCTTGGTGGAATACTACACCTCTTGTATTGATCAGTTCTGCCCTTTTCTGTTCAAATGAATCATTCAGTTTGTCCAGCTGATGACACTACACTTCAGAATTGATCGTTGTGTAGTCTGGTTAGGAGCTCAAAAGAAGCAATTCCTTTGAAATCTCACCAAATGGATTAACATCACTTTTTTTATTATTATTATTTTATTTATTTATTTATTTATTTTTTTATTTTTATTTATTTTTATTTTTATTTTATTTTTTTTTTTTTTTTTTATGTCTGCTTTCGAAGTGCTTTGAGCTGGTTCATCTTTTTTACTCCATGATCTCTTGCATTTAACATTGTTATAGGCAACCCATTTCTTGTCCCCAGTGATGATGAGCTGTAAAAATGGATAATTTTCTTGATGTATGAGAAACAAATCACAAAAGTCAATGTGATGGTGCAAATTTCTTTATGTAAAAACATGTTCCTCATGTAAGAACATGAGGAACTCGTATATCAAGCTTTGAAATTAAACCTAGGCATTTCAAATCATGAATATTCGAATTCAATAAATTTAATCTCTCAGTGATCTCACGAGCTGTTTGGCATTAATTAATGCCTTTATTGTATCTTCATCAGCTTTAATTGGCCTTCCAGAACACAGTGCATCTTCAAGGTCGAAATTGAAGGATCAAAATTTTGCAAATACTTTTGGCACTGCCATTCTGTCAGTAAGTACATCTTCTGCATACGCATTGGATATTTTTTTTATTGCTTGAACGGCATTTTTACCTTTTTGATAGTAAAAAAAGTAAAATATGTCGAAAATGCTGTTTTTCATTTTCCATATTTGAAAGGGCACCAACCAAAAACTACTGTGTAGAATCAATCAAGCTTTTTCACGAGCAAGCCTTGCTATATCAGCTGTCAAAATAGATAATGATTAAGTGTGAAGTTCCTGTGAAAAAAATACTCAAGTCCTCTGTTGGGGGGGAAACTAAATTACTTTCCAAACAACCCAATAGATATATTCAAGAATGTGTGTTGTTTCAAATGTAAGATTTGCTTTTCCTTGCTTATTTCAGAAGCTGCATGTCATGCTTATGTTAATCTGTTGCCTTTAAAATACTCTATAATTATATGGATTTTGTAAAATTGGTATTCCAGTACTGAAAATACAATTTTTAGCTGCATTACCCTTGCAGCTAAAAATTGTATTTTCAGTTTCTCACGAAAAAATTTTGATTGTTAAAAAAAATATTGTCTGTAATTTTCCCCCTCCTCTTTGTGTTTATATATGAATTTAAAAAAATCTACTCTTGTCCATTGTTTTCTGGGTGGTGGTCGCACTGTGAAACCACTGCGCATCTAGGACTTTGAAACTTACCTAGGTAGTAGGGGAAAAAAAACTTACCTTTTCCGTGTGCGTTTCCAATAAATGACGAAATTTATGAATTTTTTAAAACAAATGCATCTAAGAATTGCATAATATATATATTTTACATTATTTTTCAAAATAAAGTCGTCAAAATTTTAAAAAATTTTGTAATTAAGCAGTGGAAAGTATAAGTAAGGACGTTTGGCTACATGGATTAAAAAACTCAGTAAAATAAAGAACAAAAAAAAAAAAAAAAGACTCAGCATTTTTTTTTTTTTTCTTTAATTTCAAAGAACAAATATTTTTTTGTAACACTGTTCAAAGCATGTTTTGTCTTTTTAGTACATGCATAGACCCACATTGCATGTTTCGCACATGTATCTTCCATGATGTTTCTTCCTACAAAATGTACCCTGATTGGATCTAAATTTCCCCGATTTATGTCCAGCATTATTTAGTTTCTTTTCATCTGGCACAACATTTGTGGTTTTTTATGTTAATGAGGAGGAGGGCTTCTTCTTTTTGGCTTTGGTACGGATAAAACTTTACGTGATTTCTATTTTTAATTACAGCAAAATATATTTACATTAAATTTAAACTCTAGGAAATAATTTATAAAATCACAATACTAGCTTGGGTAGCAAGTGTGTTGAGGTCAGAGAAAAGTCTCTGGAAAAGAAAGACCTTTTTACTGGGCAGGTGCGTGTATTGTTTAGTAACAAAATAACTCTGTGGTTTTAAAACTCCTTATCTATATCCGAATGAAATTAAACATTTCTATTTGAAAGCAGCAAACATCACTGTAAAGAGCAGTGGTTTCAGGGCACGACCACCGAGCTTCTAAGGGAATGTGAGCATTGTAACACAATGCTCTAGTGGGGCAATGGTCGTGCCTTGAAACCACAAAAGCAAATGCCATACATATAGAGGTTTTTTTTTATATATGCAGTTTAATTATTGCTATTTTTGATCGTTTATGATAGAAATCATGATGTGAGTTATTTTGTTGCTTGTTATAAGTGTGAAGTATAGAATGTTGTCTGAAATAAAAATCTCTGTCTTACTTGCACTTCTTTCTAGTTGAGAGCCTCAGTGATAAGGTGTGCATCATTGCTTGTAATTATTAAAATGAAGTCAGGTTAAAGAAAGAGATTGAAGTTTAATCAGGTCTTTATTATGTAAATAAAATGCAAAATAATCAATTCTTTGACTTGTGAATAAAATTGTATAAACTTCATAACAGTGCAATAAAATAAGTTTACTGTATACACAATTTTTTATGCATTATGTAGACTTTTTTTAACGTAGTTTTTATGTATATATACAAATTCCGTAAACCAGACATCCATTATCTGGAATGATCTATAATCCGGACCTCAAAGCCACAAACTTTACGCATGCACATAAAAAATGTGCATTGAAAGAAATGTTTTTAATAAAGTAAACAAATGAATATTAAGCTTCTTTTTTTTGTAAAATTTGAAAGCCTTTAGATCATAATTGCTCTTTATTTCATAAATTACGGTTTCATATTTTTAATTGTATAATTTCTGCATGCCATCTTACCAGATTTAAATTAATGATCTATAATCCGGAAAAATCCCTAATCTGGAATTGCCGATGTCCCGACGAGTCCGGATTACGGACTTTGTACTGTATATATGTATATATGTGGATGGTCCATTTTTCTATAACATTTTTAATTGGGTAACTAAATTTGTGATAAAAATATCTTTTCAAGGTCCTGGACGAAAGAGGAAAGCTGGTTTTAAAGGAAGGAAAGGTTTGCGAAAACAAGTATGTGTGAACAATTTTTTAACTGTATAATTGTTCCATATTTTGCTGGTATTTGTTTATAAGCTTGTACTGATAGAGTTTTCGAAAAAAAAATTTAATTATGAGAAGAAAAGCCCTTAAATATAAAAAGTGTGTTTTTTAATGCATATTGAATACTAATAAAGATGGAGGACATCTGCACTTGTTTATTTCTGATCAAACGAGATGAATATCAGTAACACATAATCAGCTTCAAATAATTCCTGGTTCCAAAACCAATACATCTTAATCTATTAAACTGTTTAAACAGATCAGTAAGTAATATTAGGATCTGAGATTGGCATTCAATTTTAGAGATTAAATATATATATAAATTTGACTTATTATACAAAGCATAATCAATTATAATTTTGTACAGTATTATAATACTGCATTGCATCAATTGTTTTGTATGTTAATTTTTTTAAACATTGATATGATTTATTGTATTTTATTAGTTTTAGATCACTAATATGTTTTCATTAATAGTATTTTCTAAATTAAACATCAGTTTTAAGAATGTGTAATGAGAGGCATGTTCTCATCTCTGTTAAGTCACCTTGTACACATGAAAACTGATTTTACAAGTGAAGATGTATAGTATTTTAAATTTGCATTTTATGAACTTCTAATTACCGTGCATTAATCCATCCATGCATCTAAGTTAAAATAACATACTGAGTAATGTTTTTTGTAGGTATTACAACAAAAAGAATGATCATAGTTTTTGTAAATCTGCAGTTTATGAAATTTACGAATGTTATGCTGCAAATTCACAAATGTTATACTGGTTTTTGTTACCTTAACATCTAAGAAAAACTATCCAATTATGTTTGAAATTGGTTAGTAAAGTTCTGATGATGTGACACTTTAGAATTTTGGTCATGCCATATTATCGTACCGTATCTGCATAATATATTCAAAATACTTTTGTAATATGGTGTGTTTCAAATGTCTGGGATCACTTATTTTTTTTTTTTTTTTTTTTTTTTTTTGGTAGCTGAATGAGGAATATAACAAAGTAACAAAGTACGTCATTTTAGAGAATAAAGTTGTAAGTTCCATTCAACAACACTCTGTGATTCTACAAACAATGATGCAATAATCTAACTCTTGCCACACATGGCCCAAAGTGTCTTCCGGGCTTCGCATGAGTTAAAATAACTGTGTGGTGACAAACAACAACTGTGTGGCATGTTTTGCATAAAAAATTAAACATGAAACCATAGAGACTACAGTTAATGCAAAATTTATATCTTAAAGACAAAGACCAGCTATTTCAGTGTTGCCATGTATTGCAGGACAAAGATGATGCTTTTGTGAGTTCAATCATTTTTTTTTTCAGATGAGGCAACATTTCATACAAATGGGAAGGTAAACAGACACAACTTGAGAATTTGGAGAACAGAAAACCCGCATAACATTATTGAACATGAGCGAGATTCTCGAAAGGTCATTGTTTTTTGTGCCATGTCTAATAGCAAACTTTATGGGCCCTTTTACTTCCTTGTACGAAGTAAAAAGGAAGTATTTTAATCACGAAAAGTTTCAGGCAGCATATTTAAATGAAAATATCCCATTTTGACCTCTTTCAAATGCAATTTAACGATGTATTTCCATGATATCTGTACGTAAGGACAGAATAAAACACTCTTTTCCTCCAAAAAAATTATAAAACTGCTTTAAAATTAATTCTGAAGAGAATTTTTCGTGGCATCTGTACGAACATGTGTACGTACATATCTTTGCATAACTCAAAAACGAGTAGCCTCAGAACGTTGAAATTTTGTATATAGGACTGCTATAACATGTAGATGTGCAACTCGTATTTTGGTTGCAATCAGCCGCACCAAACATATAAATATATTTATATATATATATATATACACTCTGTTACCTGGCTCAGTGATCTCAGTTTCTTTACTCTTGTATGTTTGTAAATTGTACATTTTTTGCTTTAAAAATGATTGAATTATGTTGTTCTTATCTTCCGATTAAGGTTTTTATGCCTTTGGTAAATCTGTATGGAATATTTTTAGAATTATCAACAATTTTAAAATTGTTTAAGTGCCGCTAAGCCTAATAATGTTTTTGATGGTGACCATTGCTCTTGTTTACATTTGAAACAGCAGGATAGCGGATTTGTTGCCAATCTAGAGAAACTTAGCTTCGTAAGAACAAAGATAACGCCTTCATTTATTATTGCCAATTAAATCATGCTTAATCCTTTTTGGAATTTTTTCGAGGAAATAAGCGTTTAAGATTTACTTCGTAATTTTTAATACGGATATTTTGAGTTTTTATGTATTTTTGCCTTGTCGCGAAGTGAGAACTGAATTAATTGAATGAGAAGTACTCAATCGTCTGTGAAAAACTTTTTTTTTTTTTTTTTTTTTTTTTTTGTTTAATTTCTTTTATTTATATCTGAACAAAGGCTACAGACCAGTGTCTGCAAAAATGGCCTTCTAGGTCCCCGGATATCCCACTTGTGATTTCTTTTTATGGGATTATGTAAAGAACCCTGTTTATGTTCGTTTTCCAGGTGATGTGTTATAACATTGAAAAGGAAATATTGAACAAATAGCAGCCACAATCTCGGAAGACACGTGGCGACAGTTGGATTATCATGCTGATGTTTGTAGGATCACACGATTCCCACATACAGTGTTTGTAAAATGAGTGTTGTTGAAAAAACTTACAACCTTAATCTCTAAATTGATGTACTTCGTTACTTTATAATGCTACACGTTTGGCTACAATAATTTTTTTTAAAAGTGTTCCTGGACTTTTGAAACACAGTGTATTTTAAGAAGTTTATTGTTAGAATGAGAGATTTTAAATAAAATTCTATTTACAATAATTTTATCTTTAATGATTGAAAAATCATAATTGAATTTGCCGCTTCATGTAGTTTCTTCTTTAAAAAGGGGGAGGACCATTGAGTATGAAGCTTTTCCTGTAACTGCACAAATTAGACAAATGTAGTTTGTTTTGGCATCTTTGTGCCAAGCAGTCACAGTAAAACACTTTTTATTTTCTATTCCTTTGCTACTTGAGGATGCATCATGTAATATTTTCATGATTAGTTTGTCATTAGTTTGTTTTTTAAAATATTTCATCCTCTAACAGTATGATTTAGTAAATTGTTCAAAGAAATATTTTAAACTATATTCATCAGGTCAGAATGGTTACTCAGCTATTTGTATTTACACTTTCTATAAAATTTTGCATTTGACTGCAGTATTTACCAAGTTTCACAATATGCATGTTGTAATCGTAAGAACAGGTTTTTATTGCTTGTTTTTTATTTGAAATTCAAGAGGTCTAAAAAGCAGTGTTGTCTTTATTTAGCAGTCCCCCCCCCCTCATTAAATATTTGTTTTTAATTAATAGAGCCAAAATGAAAATGTAGAAGTAAGTGCTACGCAGTTTGAAGAAAATACTAAATCTCTCAAAGATGAGTCAGTTCTTCCTGTCAAGATAGAAGATGACAATATAGAACCAGCTGAAGGTAATCCTTGCCCAATTGTCATTCAGTCAGAAAAGGAAGAAGAAATGGAAGTGGTCAAATCTGAATCTGAAGTAATTCGAAAATTGCCAAATAAATGGAGTGTAAGTATTTTTATTTTACAATTTTATTTTTGGATTTGTGAATTTTTCTTGTCAATCTTTTAACTGCATATTTTTTAAGTGTTAAGTTCCTAGCAATAGCTGCAATAAATAAATAGTACAAAAAATTTATATTGGCATGCATGTTAATGTGCTATTACCAGTTTTCGTCTTTGCCCCTTAAGTGGCTATAATGCAGTGGATGATAATTCATCACCAATAGGTCTCCTTCCTCTGTAGTTTTCTGTAAATGGAATACAATGTAAGGAATTTTTGCCTTCCTTACTATGTGCTGTCTTCATATAACTGGTAGCACATCGGGCTCGCTGTCAGTAAATCTGGAATTTAAATCTCCTGTGAGGGCATAACTGATTTATCCAAGTTCCTGCCTCTTAAATTCTAAAAAAGGCCTCTGCGAGTGGTACCAGAGCTAAAATCACCACCTGTACTGGATCTCCTCTCATCCCTGGCATCCTTTAAACTTTTGGCTGGCAAGGCCATATAATACAGCCTAGAATATTTTTTTGTGATGCCTTTAAGGATATATATGCACGTGTATCTTGAAATATGTCCCAAGAAATTAAGGCAATCTATTTAAAGTACCAAGGATGCTTCGGCATCAAGAAAATATTTCTTTTTTCTGGCAGTTTTGGAAAATTTCACCTTTCTGAACAAAGTCCTGTACCAGGCAGAGGGTTAAATAGGGAAGAATGTAATGAATTTTCTTCTATTTACTACGTACTTTTGTGGAGTAGTTCATAACATATGCAGCAAGCAATTGGGTTGAAGTTCAAATCTTGATGAAGACATAGCTGATTTTTCTTATGCTGTGCTAACAAATGCCTAATAATTTCTAAACTGTTTGCTCTCCAACTTTCAGTAACTGTCACTGATTGGAATTATAACAGAAATACATTCAATATGAATTTTGCTAGTTCTTGAAAGTTTTAGTAATTTAAAAACTTTTTTTTTTTTTTTTTTTTTTTTTTTTTTTTTTTTTTTTATAATATAATATGTAGGTTAGAAATCAGTCACTTTTAAAACATGTGTAAGTTGCCAGTTTTTAGGACTATATTCACAGCCTTTTGACTGATAGTGTTAGATGAGATTTAACAAATCAGTTGATGTTCTGATGTCATTAAATGTGATCTTTAAATTTAGCAGTCACCTGTAAAATTTAAGGACAGGTTAGAAGCAGCTTTAAGTAAAGTAATGACTTTCCTTACAAATAAAGTGGCTGACATATTTGCATTGAAATGGAGTTCATTTGTAGAAATTCTCATGTAATTCTGTGGCACAATCATTTAAAGTTCAGAAAGTATTCCTAATTTATCAAAATATACTTTTCATATTAAAAAATTTGCTTTTCAAGAATGTTGTCACGAAAAATTATGACATAATTAAGTGGTAGCTTTCCTAGGATGAGAAAAATCGCATTAGGGCCATGCATGTCACATATCTATCAAAGCATTTCCACTGCTGAAACATTCTTTGCTGTTAAGAACCAAATTACTGTTTGCATGTCAGTCAGTGGGCTGACCAATTGTTTTAAACATTTCGAATTAATACTGTACACAGCAAGCACACTGCAACAATACCAATGCAATTACTGTCGTTTGAAAAGCAAGGCAAGCCAGAAGTCTGTATGCATGCATCTTTCAGTGTTAATGTGATATTGAATTAGCTACAGCAATTCAGAACTTAGTTTCTAAATAACTCTAATGCATAAAATAATGAACCAAGATTTACAACTGAAAAAAGATAAAGATAAAAGACAGAATGTGTACTAATTTTTGCTGAGACATGAGGATCAACAGAGAATAATTTCTGGAACCTTGTATGAAAACTATTTAGTAGGAGATAAATGAAAATACATTGTGATCCTTGATCAAACATGGGTTTACCTAAATAACTACAACGAAAAAAGTCTATTTATTATCGAAAACAAGGAATAAAAAATGTACAGACCTGGTTCCCTCAATACAAAGCAAGTTTCAGCAAGTGGTTCATGATTGCCACACAGTACAATGGAAAATAAAAAAAGTAGTAAAAAGTGTTTAAATTAATACAGTGAGTATCTAGAGAGAGTTTTACGATTGATATTTACAAAAAATCTCATTTCTTTATCATAGTGACTTTCAAAGAATAAAACTTCATCAAGATAAAGCACCAATGCATTTCTTGAAAAAATGAAAGCTGATACAGGTTTTGCTTATGTACCTTTTGAACATAATCCTTTGAAGTCCCCTTTGAACCCTTATTTCCCTTATTTCACCTTGGAACTGTGGTACCTTTGTTCTCTTAAAAAGAGCTTTCTCTAAGTGCAAACCCTCCATGATTGATTGACTCTGGAAAGTAGAGGAAGAGGAATTGAAATGAATACCCCTGCAAATTTTATGAAAAGCCATTATATCAGGGAAATCATGATGTAAGTTTATAGTCCTGGGGGGGGGGAAGCTACCAGACTGAACATTTTAAGAATTACTTTATACATTTTAAACATTAATTGAAACAGCTCCAAAGTCATTCTAAAAATGTATCAACACCCTTTGTAGCATTCATTTGTTGGAATAACACTAAGGAATGTTTGTGTGTTTTTGCCATTCACGATGATTAATTTGTTAATTATGTACATAAATAAAATTTCATCAAGTTATACAAGTAATATATCTCCCATGTGCATTCATAATGCCACATTTTGTCCTTAATTTTCTCTTGGCTTTATTTAAAGCAATAGCAATTGCTCCTATTAAATAAATAACTGATGATTCATGTTTTCCATAGTTTTGTATCATTATGAATAATATGACTGCGAAGTAAAGGTTAGATTGATGTCTTATGATTTTTGTAATGTGTGTGTGCATATAATTATTTAACATAGAAATTAATTTCAGGTTCAAGAAGTGTTTCAGTTCATTTGTGATCTCCCGGGTTGCTCAGACTATGCAGATGAGTTTAGATCTCAAGAAATTGATGGTCAAGCATTACTTTTATTAAAAGAAGATCACCTTATGAATGCTATGAACATGAAGCTTGGTCCTGCTTTGAAATTGATATCACAGATAAATAGCATCAAAGAAGAACTCTCACATTCATAATTTCATAGACTGAAATTTCATAAAAATCCAGAGTTCACAAAGTTGAGCCTATATCAGCTTTTTCTCTATTATCAAAGAACAAGTGAGGAGCAATTACGATGCTTTTCAATTATATTCCTTAATTTATTTTAATAAAAGATTTTGATTTATGCATGCTGCAAGATATTTTTTGGAATGAAGTTACATATGAAACACATTAAATTTTGTAGAATGAAGTTACTTGTAATGGTCGTGCTATTTTATATGTACTTACTTTTTTTCTAGTTTCTACTTAAAGTATGACTTAGATTATATGTTTACATTTTTCAGTATTTAAAACTTGCATTTTAAAACGTAGCTCTATTCTGCAAAATTGCAAGCATTCTGTATACAGACATAATTATAGTTTTTTTTAAAAAAGGGCAAGTTTTTATTTGATTCATTGTCTGTATTTTACAGAAGAGCGTTTCAAAATAGTTCTTAATCGATTTCCATCATTCTTTGTTTGGTAGCTAATTATATTGGTGTCATCCCCCCCCCTCCAAAAAAAACAGATTTTGGTAAGAAATGATGCATGTATCATTTCACTTGTTTTTAAATAATCATGAAGCATGTGTCTCTATTTTAATTTATTGAATGTGCAAACATACTGCTTTTGTAGTCTGTTTTATTTGTATTTTCCCTTGTTTTGGTAAACTGAGCAAAGGTTCAACTTCTGTAGAACTCATTGGATTTATTTTAGTATGCTAGTAAAGAATCGCAGTGCCTGAAAAATGATTTTAATGGCCTTCTGAACTTGTTTCTCACAACGTTGTAGGATATGCAAAGACAGGAAAACATTTGTAAATAGTCTACTTCTTAATCATAAATCATAAACATTGTTTATTCAATTATCACTTATATATCTTGTAAAACATTTGTTATTTTTTTTCAGTCATTTTATTGTGTTTCATCTTTCTTCCAAAATTTGGGAGAGCTGTGGATTGTGCTGGGGTTCTACAGTTTTTGTGTTGTTTTATTGCAATTAAATTGGATGGTCCATTATACAGTATTTTACAGATATTGTAATTTTTTTGTATAATTGACACTCAATGTATTTTTTAAAATTATTGTAAAATATTCAATCATTCATGTCTATTAATATTTTTCTTCGATTAATTCATTCAGAATTTTGAGAGCAACTCCTGTCATATAAACTGCATACTGCTCAATCATGTTTATGGCTGTATAATTGTCAGGTTTATAAAAATGTGCTGTAGTTGTATTAAATGCCCATGAAATGGGAAAGAGTTTTATATTTTTATGCCCTAACAGCAATTATGTCTTGATAGTCAAAAAGAGAAGAGAATATAAATAAGAGATAGCTGATAGCTAAAGACTAGTTAATATCTTTAAAGTAGCATTTGTCACTTTACAAAGATGTTTCACAATCATTTTGTAAGATCAAGGTCTGAATTTTATTTAGAATAATATTTTATGTGAATTATATGATGTAAATAGCTTAAAAGAAGTTTATATATATATGTGTGTATGTGCGTGTATCTTTTTCAAAAATTGAAATATAATTATAAATTGAATTTGAAACTCTAGTCTTTGGGGAGGATATCTTTTATCTCAATGTGATCTGAGATCTCCAGCTTTTAATTGTCTGTGTTTCGTAAAACATGATATTTGAAAATTCTTTAAACAATGTCCCCCTTCCAAAAAAAGGTTTCCCAACCCCCTTTTCCCCAAACTTCTGACATAAAAGAGAATGACTATTATTTTGTAATATCTAGTTATATTTTAAAGTACTTAAAAAACTTTATTTTGCTTTACTATATCTTATTTAAAAATTGAAGTGGCGGAAATATAGATAAGTTTGAAGAAAGTTTCTATATTTTCAGGTGAAGTCAAATGCAAAAATATTTTTATTTTAGATTTCTGCCAAGTATTTTTGCTTTTGAATGTATCTCCAGCTTCTGCGTGTTTTTCAGTATTTTGTCTATGCTTAGAAGTGTATGTATATATATCAAAGATCTGCATCTCTCTAAAAATTTTCCAGCAAGATTAAAAATGATTCTTAAATGTTTAGAAGCACCCCCCCAAAAAAATTATCTTTCATACAGGTTTTATTTCTGATACTGGTAATAGGTGAACTCAAGCTCTGTCATGTCTTGTATGACATTTTGTCATTGAAATTCTTGGTTTTATAAGTTTTAAAATTGCATTTGCATTTGAAAATAGAGTAATTTTATCGTATAAAATATTTTTAGAAGTTTAAGTACTTCATGAAGATTTTTGTTTTATTTAAGCTTGTGCTTATTATTTTGAATCAAATTTCTACAGAAGTTAGTATTATTAGGTTCTTCATCAAATCATCTTCCATCCACATTGCTATAATTCAAATTAATGTTTTTTGTGTACATCATAAAAACATGTGGTGTTGATTTTTTTACTTCCTTGTACGAAGTAAAAAGGAAGTATCGTAATCGCGAAAAGTTTCAGGCAACATATTTAAACGAAAATATACCATTTTGACCTCTTTCAAATGCAATTTAACGATGTATTTCCATGATATCTGTACGTAAGGACAGAATAAAACACTCTTTTCCTCCAAAAAAATTATAAAACTGCTTTAAAATTAATTCTGAAGAGAATTTTTCGTGGCGTCTGTACGAACGTGTGTACGTATGTATCTTGCATAACTCAAAAACAAGTAGCCTCAGAACGTTGAAATTTTGTATATAGGACTGCTATAACATGTAGATGTGCACCTCGTATTTTGGTTGCAATCAGCCGCACCAAACATATAAATATATTTATATATATATAACACTCTGTTACCGGCTCAGTGATCTCAGTTTCTTTACTCTTATATGTTGGTAAATTGTACATTTTTTGCTTTAAAAATGATTGAATTTATGTTGTTCTTATCTTCCGATTAAGGTTTTATGCCTTTAGTAAATCTGTATGGAATATTTTTAGAATTATCAACAATTTTAAAGTTGTTTAAGTGCCGCTAAGCCTAATAATTTTTTGATGGTGACCATTGCTCTGTTTACATTTGAAACAGCAGGATAGCGGATTTGTTGCCAATCTAGAGAAACTTAGCTTTCGTAAGAACAAAGATAACGCCTTCATTTATTATTGCCAATTAAATCATGCTTAATCCTTTCTGGAATTTTTCGAGGAAATAAGCGTTAAGATTTACTTCGTAATTTTTAATAAGGATATTTGAGTTTTTTTGTATGTATTTTGCCTTGTCGCGAAGTGAGAACTGAATTAATTGAATGAGAAGTACTCAATCGTCTGTGAAAAACTTTTTTTTTTTTTTTGTTTTGTTTTTTTAATTTCTTTTATACATCATTCTAGCTTTATTATAGTATTTGAATAGAACATGTAGCAACAATTAGATAATTCTTTACATGATATAAATTTTGTGCATTCTGAGTTATAATATGAACGAAATATAATACTGTTAAGTGAACCTAGCGAGTGTCGCTATGGCAAACAAATAGAGTGAATTTTAAAGAATGCATTTATTCTATCGTGGTTTATGCGTTGTCGGCGAAGTAGATTTAATTCAATCCAATAAGTTTAAATGAAATGCAAGAAAAAATGTGTATACTTTAATATTCCATGCAAGGAAGTCATGTGGTGTACACGTCAGATTTTTTTAAATTGAAAATTAGAATAACAAAAATAATTTTGAACTGTTGCTAAGTTTTCTAAAAATCAAATGATAAATATTACTGTTTTGTTTTGGTTATTTTTCACATTTATTTAGGTATTTTTTTATACTTAAAATCCAATTTTCAATTAAATTTTTCAAAATTTCCATCTAATTTTAAATTAATTTGAAAAATCCATATACAGTCGAGGGAATTTTTACTTAAATTATTGAATTTCTTATTTTGAGTAACTTTCATTTTATTTAAAAAAATGATTTATTTATGATTAATTTTAATTATTGCTAGATCAAAAACTTTATTATATTGATTCTTATTAAACTAAAATTAGAGTACATATTTTCTGATATATGTAATGTCACAACCATGAAATAACTTCTCTGATTGTAGTGCATGACATTAAACAAACAGTAATACACTCAGAAAAACTTTCAGTCAGTTTTGTGAAATTTCAGAAAGCAATGCATGTGTCCATTTTTAACTATAAGAATGGATGTATGAGACATTGTATTAGATTGCTCCTATATCCAGCTTTTTACTGTTCTTCCCTATATGATGCAAGGTGCAGCAAAATTAAATCTCAGATTACATTTGTAAATAACAAAGCAATGTTAGATGTTGAAAGGTGTACCATATTATGCTCCACATGCAGCCAGAAATAATCCTTTATGTGATTCCAACAGGTTAGTGCCACAGCACACGCAGCAAATGTATTCATGAACATGCTACATAAAATGTTTGCAGAGCATCTTGCCTCAGTTCAAGCTTTTGTTTTATTGGTTCCCGATCATGTAGCTTTTGACTTCTTTCTGTGGATGTCCCTAAAGAGAAAGTTTATTAAGGAAGGCCAAGGACAACCATTGATTGGTTTGGTTTATTTGATTTTGGAAAAACACATTGAAGCTATCTGCATAAAGGGAGAAATGCTTTTATGGAGGATTTTATAAGGGATATTATCTCAAAGGGAGGAATGCCTTCATGGAGGACTTCCTCAGAAAAATTAGTTCATATTCATGTTACATCTGAAGAAAACCACAAAAATGACCATGCAGCCAGCCCATTTATGTGGAATCCTTAGGTAACAACTTTTATTACTTGTTTCTCGTGGAGCAACAACCAGTGAAACAAAAGAAATACACTGAAGAGCAATTGAATTAGGGATACCTGTCTAGTAGCGCATAGCATCAACTTTCATCGTGTTGACGGCTGCAATTTGTCTTGGCACGGTCTCGACAAGATGCTGGAAGCAGTGGGAAGCCATGCATGTCCAGTACTCCTGAACATACTCCCACAATTCATGAAAATCTCTCAATTGCATCCCAGATATGATTGATAGGACTCTGGTATCTTGACCTTCATGGCCAGGAAAAGGAAAGCACATGCAGGTGTGCGAAATGTTCATCCAACTATTCCGATACAATTTGGGAGCAATGACAAGGTGCATTGACTTGTTGAAGGATAATCTCTGTAGTGGGCTGCTGAAAGCAAACATAAGAGAGCAGGTCG